GGAAGGAAGGAAGAAAGAGATGGAAAGAAGGAAAGAGAAAGAAGTCGCCTTAGCTGGGAGCCAGATTTCCACAGGAGTTAAACGTCTCTTCTGCAGCTAAAGCATGGCTTACTGGTAGGAAACCGGAACTTGGCAGGACTAAGAAACTTGACGCTGGGCTGACCCCATTGTCGTCCTGATTAGAAATCCCAGGCTACAGGAAACCGGGAGCTGCTGAGAAATGAGTCACAGAGTAACTTCGCCTTTCTGTGGAGAAACCGCGACTTCCTACGACCTAGAAATCGCAGCCAGGGCTACACCGGTGTTTGTCTCAAATCGGGACTTGGCTTGGGCTGAGAAATCACACTGCGGCTATTCCCCTACTTGGACACGGAGTAGAAATCGCAGGCACCGCGAAATCGAAAGTTGCTGGGACCAAGAAGCCAGCTACGCGCTGAGCCGCCGGGTTCTGCGACCGAGACGCCAGCGGCGCCGCCCCGGGACCGGGTTCTGGAGGCCGAGCCGGCGCCCGGGGGCGGGAGCGCTGGAAGAGACTGTGCCCCGCAGCTCCCCTGTCACCCGCTCCGAGGAGCGACGGGCTCCCCCGGCCCAGCGCCGGCGCCGTCCGGGAACGCCAGGCTCTGGGCAACCGGGGCAGCTGCGACTTGGAATCTCTAAGATCCGCCGGCTGAGGGCTGCCGCCACGGAGAAGCGAAAGCACGGAGCTGCGAACAGGAGACAACGCTCGGCCAAATGGCGGTGCCGGGAGCCCGCGAGTGACGGCGGCCGGCGGGCTTGTCAAGGACAGCAATCGTTTCGGCGCAGCCAACGGTGCTGTCACCGAGAAACCATGGACGCCGAGAAAAAAAGAGCGGGTCGGCCACCGAGAAACTCCGTGCAACCAGTGCTGTGACAGCGAAACCGCCGGCTCCGCGCCGCTGGCGAAAGTGTCAACGGGAACGCCGGTGCTGCGACCCTGACGCCGGCACTAGAGGGCCTCGGATGGAGAAAGCCACGCGCGGAGACCAGGACACTGTGCAGAGCGCAACTAGCAGCTGACACAAGCAGAAAAGTGTCTGATCGGCTCTCCGGGAGAAAGCGCGGATCAAAACCAGCAACTCCGTGCAGGAAACCGCGCAGCCACTGAAGAACGTTATCAACGTCGCGGTGGTGCCAGAGAAACACCGCGATTTCGATCACAGCCGTAGGAAACCATGGAGAAACACGCGCTGCCTCTGAAGTACATCCAGCTCCGCGCAACCAGTGGTTC